GGCCGACGATCTCGTCAAGGCCTTGAGGTCGTCCTTCTCCACTGGCATTGCCACCTCCGACTGGTTGGACAACTCGACTCGCGAAAACGCGCAAACGAAGCTGTCCAAGCTTATACACTTGTTGGGTGGCCCGGAGAAGCCACAGCTGTACCCCACGCTCACGTTCGACTCGAAGTCGTATTTAAACAACCGGTGGAAGGTGTCTCAAGTGAACATCGACACCGACTTGAAGCTGAACGGACAACCTGTGGAGAAGCGCAAGTTCAACCGTGCCCCCCATGAGGCGAACCCGTACTACAACCCTCACGATAATGTAATTCTGTTTCCGGCCGCCATTTTGCAAAAACCATTCTTTGACGGCCAGTTTGACGCCGCCCAGAACTTTGGTGCCATCGGGATGGTCATCGGACACGAAATTACCCACGGGTTCGACAAAAGCGGCCGCAGAGTCGATGGCGACGGAAACTTGAAACAGTGGTGGTCCAACGCTACCAACGATGCGTTCAAGACGAAAGCCCAGTGCTTTATCGACCAATACTCCAACATTGTCGTCAAGAGCGAATTGCCTGACGTTGTCTTGGGCAACATCAGTGGCAAGGACTCTTTGAATGAAAACATTGCAGACAATGGGGGGCTCAAGACCAGTTTTCGCGCGTACCACGAGTACTTGAAGGAGTTCCCATCCCAGTACACGGAAGAAGCAGGCGACAAGTAGTTCTATTTGTCGTTCGCCCAATCCGCGTGCTCCAAGAACACGGATGCCTTCCTCCTCAGATCTTTGAAGCAGACGCACCCGCGCGGCCGGTACCGCGTGACAGGGGTGTTGCAAAACAACGCTGAGTTTGCCCGTGTGTTCCAGTGCCCCACCGACTCTTACTTGAACCCGTCCAAGAAGTGCTTGTTGTGGGAATAGGGTTGATGGATACAGAACATATATGTAGCGTTGTGGATTTGTAAGGGAAAACTAAGTAAACGATGTCTTGGTTGAAGTGTGTTGCTTTCATGTCCGACGCACACAAAAACTAACAATGTAAGGTGATTCATGTAATTCCCGGCCAGCTTGGCCTACTTTTTGAGTACTATAACTCGTCACCCATTCATCCGATGAGACTGCGAAAACACGCATTTTGAAGATCGTGACGAGCTTTATAACTTTATGCAGGTCCCATCATGGTCAATTTGCTCGTCGAATTTCTAAAATTGAAATTTCCCTGTGTGAATTTAATTCCCGGCCAGTAAGTCACTTGAATAATGTATGCCTGATTTGTGTGACAAAATCCTCAGAACCTTTTAATAATAATATGTATAAAGTATTCAAGTAATTAAATTTAGAAGTGCAATTAATATAAAAACTGTATTACATGTCGGACAAGCAGAATATTAAATCTTACAAGATGAGATACAGGAGTACGTAATTTTGTCCAATCATCGTCGATGGATGATTTTGATTGGCCATTTGCTGGCGGGGAATTGCATACTGGCCGGGAATTACATGAATCACCTTATATGTGAGATCACCCTCGGATTCGCCTAATTAGTTGTTGGGACATGAACTTGATATCACTAAGCCCACTACCGACGGCACCTCCAACCGAGCAGTCCACCACTGAGTTTGCAGTACTAGCCGGAGAAGTAACACCTCTGGAACCCAAACACCCGATCAAATACAGGACCGGCATCGACGGGCTACGGACGCTCTGTTTTCGCCCCCGTCGTTATCCGGACGGGAACCTCTTTCGGAGGTCGAATTACAGTCGGAGACGGAATTTAAGGGGCACTTAATACTTCGATTATTCCGAAACTCACGGTATGATTGGCTGAGAAGCTTCGAAATTCGTTGAATTTTGTGGCCAACCATACCATAACGACTCGGGCATGAAACGATTCGGACAGAGCTTCGGACACAGAAATATTTGAGGAATTAATACAATTGCTGCATACAAATTCCAAGCTTGCTACACGTAATTAAAATAACGATGATAGGATTGGTACAGCGTAACTATAGACTGCACATCAACGACAACCGCAAGTCCTTACTAGTACTAACGCAGTAACCAAGTGGTCATGCTCGAATAGGTAAAGCGTTAATGATTACTAGCACTACTTCATCCTTCACGCTCGCAAGGGCTGCCGGTAAACTACACTGTCCTGCAGGTTTGGAGCCTGAAGTCTTGCAACATCAAATTACATGTGACAATTATAAAAAGAGATATTATATTCCAAAATAGTTGTTCTTTGCGCAAGTAAAATCCGCATAATCATCAGGATTGAGCAAGTATATCTTGCGCAAAAGCAATATATCATCTGACACATCGCCTTTGAGAACTTGCAGAATGTATAGAAAAGGTGAAACGGATAGATATATGGTCCTTGCGCAAGTACACTTTCCGGATTGCTGTTTCGAGTGCTCACATAGCTTCAGAGCGGTACCAAACGTCGATGGATCCAACAATTGGAGCGAGTTGCGCTGATAGACAACAAGCTGGTGATGATATAATTGCTTTGCTTATCGTTCCGTCTACTCGCCAGCAGTACAGGTCAATTCTAGCGCGGTTTTCCCGTTGGCTCGAACATTATTCCCCCGAATCACTCATCGAAGGCAATGTGACCCTCCTTGTGACAAAGGCTGTGCGCCAAAGGTTCCTTGCATACATATCCATCAAACGCGACTCCAAAGGACGCGAAATAACTTCTCGCAAGCACAATTCGTACTCCACCATCAATGGATTTTCCAACGCAATCAAGCATCTCTACAAAGAAGAAGAGCGCGTCCTCAGCGACGGGCTACTGTCCATGTTACAGGGTATGTGACGTAATCGTTGTCCCTTGTGCTGCTACGCTAACTACAAGTAGATTTTGCCAATGGATACAAGCGCCAGATTGCTTCACTCAATCAAAACGGAGACCACCCGATCTCCGAAGGTAAAGCTCCGCTAACGCTCGATGGGAAGCTGTACTTGGATTGACGGTCACTGATTACCATAAACAAATTGTCATGTGACATAGCGTTCAAGTTTCTGGCACAATGTGCTATGGAAATAGGACACGATCATGGCTTGAACATATCTGTTCATTGCTTTCTCGTCTTTTGTTGGAACACGATGAGTCGGTCTGTCTCGGTAGCATCGATCATGTTAAATCACATTGTTTGGGAAGGTAAGTACCTCCTCTTTTGTCAAGACCTTAACCTCGTTTAGGTGACTGCTTGGTGATTCGATTTGGGCGACTCAAAAACGACCAAGAGGGGAAACACTGCGCCCCCCGACATGTATATGCCAACCCCTTGCAGCCATACGTGTGTCCAATTTTGAGATGGGGATATATTAGTTGCATAGTATCAACAGTGTTTGGTGTAGTTTGGCGATTTTGGTTTTCACACGAGGTGTCCGGCAAGAGAACGGCCCCGTCCTGTTGTTTGGCCACAATGCGAAAGAACGCTTTGCAAAGTGGCTCTCGGCGACTTGTTCCGCCTCCAAGGACACAATATTGTCCATGGGGCTCAGCATCACAGAGATTGGAACGCATTCTCTGCGCAAAGGTGTGGCCACTGCTCTGACAAATACGACAGGCGGTCCTCAGGCAGTGTCGGTTTGGCTCCGCGCTGGATGGAGCCTGGGTGGAGTCCAGGGTCGATACATTTTCGTTGGCTCGTGTGGTGATCAATTCGTAGGAAGAGCATCCGCAGGTGTATTCCACTCCTCTATATGCTACAGGATTGATAACGATCATTTCGGTTATATGTAGGTCTCAACGTCAATGATGCTTCGTTTGCTACACTGCACCCCTCACTTCCATGGCCCGGTGTTGAGTGTGGAGCAATGGAAATGTATCGTGCCCGGCTATGACAGCCATTATCCGCCAACGTTTAATACAACCATGCTCTTTCTTTTGGCATCATTGGTTCATCATCGTGTTTGGCTGAAACAACACCTCAGCCCCTCTCATCCTCTCCTGTTTTCACTTCTGTGGTCGTCAGGTCTGCTGGTCGACCTGGCTGACGAGGTGTTGCTTGGTGTCATGTGCAATCCTGTGTCGAAAATGATGGCCACCGGAATCCCCCCCTATGTTGCCCAATC